CATCTACTCAGATTCCCAGCTGATCACAAGTCAAGCCTCAGGAGAATACATGGCGAAGCACCCAAGGATGATCTTGTACCTTGACAAAGTTCAAGAGTTGTTGAAGGCGTTTCCCACCTTCACCATCCAGCAAGTTCCTAGAGCAGAAAACGCGCACGCAGATGCATTGGCAAGCTTAGGATCGGCGCTGGGTACCCAGTTCAGACGCTCCATCTTGGTCGAGCACCTTGACCAGCCTAGCATAGAGGAGGCAGAGCAGCCGGACCTGATGCAGATCGATGAGGATCCGAGCTGGCAAGACCCAATTATTGACTACCTAGTGAATGAAAACCTGCCCAAGGACAAGTCCGAGGCCAGAAAAATCAAGCAGAAGGCTGCAAGATACTACATGAAATGCGACATGCTTATCCGCAGATCATACTACGGGCCTCATCTCACTTGCATCAAGTACCCACAAACGCTCGAGGTTCTCTGCAAGATACACGACGGCGAATGTGGAAATCACGCTGGGGGCAGATCGCTTGCTCAGAAGGCTCTCAGCATAGGCTATTTCTGGCCTACCATGCGCCAAGACTCCACGGAGTATGCTCGAAGATGTGATCGATGCCAACGCTACAAGCCGGTCCCTGGCCTGCCCGCTGAGGAATACCATCCACAGAACAGTCCATGGTCATTCATGATGTTGAACAGTTCATCTGGAAGGACATTATTTGCATATTCGGTTGCCCGCAATTGATAGTCACCGACAATGGTACACAGTTCGTGGGCAGGCAGATCACCGCATTCTTTACGGAGTATGGCATCAAACAACACCTGTCAACACCCCGATACCCGCAAGGCAATGGCCAAGCAGAGGCATCCAACAAGATAGTGCTGGACTGCCTAAAGAAAAGACTGGAAGGCGCAGAAGGAAAATGGGTCGACGAGCTGCCAGGAGTCCTATGGGCTTATCGCACGACCAAAAGGAGATCGACCGGAGAGACACCATTTTCCCTGGCCTATGGGAATAGAAGCAATCATTCCCCCACACATCACAGTCCCTTCCATGAGCATCGAGGTGGGCAGTCTTGACCAAAACTGCAAGCAGATGAAAGTCAACCTTGATCTGCTCGAAGAAGAACGAGGAAAGGTCATTGTTCGAGTTGCAGCTTACTAACAGTAGCTCACATCTTGCTACAATAAGAAGGTCATTGTTCGAGTTGCAACTTACCAGCAGCAGCTCACGTCTTACCAAAGCAAGAAGACCATTGTTCGAGCAGCAGCATACCATCATCAGCTGGCATCTTACAACAACAAGACCATTGTTCGAGTTGCAGCTTACTAGCTCGACTCCAAGTAGGCGACGGGCCTCCTTCATCTTCATTGCAGACAAGCTGCTCCACGAAGCACGAACTCAATGGAGTCGTTTTCGAGCATTGTGACCCTGACATACGCTCGCAGGCGACAAGCCTCATCTTCATTGCAGACAAGCTTCTCCA